CCCTCGGCGCGTCGCGGTCCGCGCCGGTCCTCGCCGCGCCGGAGCGCGCGCTCTTCCCCGGCCGCGACGCGGCCCTCGCGACGTCCGCGGCGCGGCAGGGCGACGCTGCGCGGCGGCTCCGCGAGGGCCGGTCCATCGCGCCGCTGTCGGACCTGCCGCCCCTCGACGGCCAGCCCGAGGTCGCGACGGGCGTCCGCGAGAAGCTCGGCCACTGGAGGGACCGCGTCGCGTCCTTCGCGCGCGCGACGGAGGAGACGAGCCCGCGCGGCTACGTCTACCGCGTCCGCGCGCCGCTCCTCGAGCGCTCGCGGAGCGCCGCGACGCTCCGGTCCTCGGCGCGGCCGGCCAAGGGGGCGACGAAGGCGCCCCTGCCCCGCGCGGCGACGGAGGCCGTCGCCGCGCCCCTGCCGCGCCACGGCCACCGCCAGCAGTACGGGCCCTACCCCTACGCGAACATCGACCGCTTCGTCGGCGCCTACAAGGCCTGCGTCGCGCCGAGCCAGCGCTTCGGCGCGCCCGTGGCCGCGCGCGCGGTCCTCGACCACCCCGTCGTCGCGGACAACGACTACCTCCGCAAGCGCGGCGACGACGTCCTCGGCCGCGCGGGCGCCGCGGGCACGCTGGGCCTCCGGGGCCTGCTCCGCGGCTTCTTCCCCCTCATCAAGCCCAGCGAGCTCAGCGAGGTCGCCGACGGCTTCCTCGCGCGCAACGGCGTCGGGCCCTGGGCGCGCAAGGCCGGCGGCGGCGAGCGCGAGAACGAGCTCCGCGCCATCTTCGACCTCTTCGACGTCGACCGCGCGGGCGCCGTCGACCTCCGCGAGCTCGCCGACGCCGTCAACGAGGGGTCCAGCGCCCTCGCGGGCAACGAGGACTGGCCCGCCCTCGCCGGCGCCCTCTTCGACCACCTCGCCGCGCTCGAGCGCCGCGCGGCGCCCGGCGGCAAGGCGCGCGTGTCCTTCGACCAGTTCGCCGACATCGTCCAGAGCGCCATCTCCACGCGGGACTAACACGGGGAAGTTTGCGCGCCTGAAGCGCGCGCGGGCGAGCATGAGGCCCCGGGTATTAGCCTCGCAAAATTCACGCGTACCTGCTCTCGACGGCGGCGCCCTTCGAGCACGGCTTGTATTTCGAGTCGGAGGAGCACGGCTTGTAGTCCTGGGCGAGCGCGTCGAAGCCGGCGAAGGCGCCCGCCGCGTCGAAGGTGAGCTCGTAGACGGAGTCGTAGTCGTCGCTCTTCCAATCCGGGATGGATTTCGTGGGCACGCCGAGGTCCGCCGCGAGGTATTGGATGTTTTCGTGCTCCCAGGCGACGAGGGTCACCGTCTCCGCGCGCGCGGCTTCCTTGATCGCGGCCGCGGCCGCGGCGTTGCCGCCGTTGAACTCGTGGCCGTGCGCGAAGGACACCGTCAGGTTCAGGTGCTGCGCGATGGGCTCCACCGTGAGCCAGCAGCGCTCGCACTCGGGCGGCTCGCGGTACTGGTCCGCGAAGATCTTCGTCGGCGTCGCAAAATGGTGCTTCTTCGACGTCTCGCCGTCGAAGATCTGAGGCAGCCGCCGCTCCACGTCTTCTCGCCGTGCCTGATGATGTAGACGGTATGGTTCGTGTCGGCGGCGGCGGCCAGGCACGCGCCCAGGGGCGCGAGAAGGAGGCGCATCGTGCCTTTGGGGCGTTCGTGAGAAGCTTTTGCCACTTCTTGGCTTGAAGCGTTCTTGAACCAAAGTTGCTGCCGAGCCTAAACTCGTGCTCCGCGGTGGGCAGCCCTCCGTCTTCGGACCTGCACGCACGCGCGATGATGCTGCGCGCCGGCGCCGCCCTGCGGCCGCGCCTGGCGTGTGCGCGGTGCCTGTCGTCGCGCGAGGAGTGCCACGAGCGGCTCGCGACGACGCAGAAGGGCCACGTGAAGCCCCTGAAGACGAAGCAGAAGGGCGTCGACATCCTGCACGACCCGCTCTGGAACAAGGGCATGGCCATGGACTACCCGGAGCGGGACCGCCTCAACCTGCGGGGCCTCGTGCCGCCGCGCGTGAAGACGCTCGAGGAGCAGGCCGCGCGCGTCATGGCGCAGCTCCGGGGGGACTTCGCCGACGACGACGACGGCCGCCTGCGGAAGAACAAGTTCCTCCAGGAGCTCCACAACCGCAACGAGACGCTCTACCACCGCGTGCTCGCGGACAACATCGCCGAGCTCGCGCCGCTCGTCTACACGCCGACCGTCGGCGCGGTCTGCGAGAACTTCGGGGCCCAATTTAGGCGCGCGAGGGGCATGTACTTCTCCGTCCAGGACCGGGGCCTCTTCTCGTCCATGGTCTGGAACTGGCCCCACGACGACGTCCACATCATCGTCGTCACCGACGGGTCGCGGATTTTGGGGCTCGGCGACCTCGGCGCGCACGGCATGGGCATCCCCATCGGGAAGCTCGCGCTCTACTGCGCGGCGGGCGGCATCGCGCCGCACCGCGTCATGCCCGTCATGCTCGACGTCGGCACGAACAACGCCGCGCTCCTCGAGGACGACGACTACCTCGGCGTCCAGAAGCCGCGGCTCGAGGGCGACGAGTACTTCGCCATGGTCGACGAGTTCATGTCCGCCGTCTTCGAGCGCTGGCCCGACACCGTCGTCCAGTTCGAGGACTTCGAGTCGTCGAAGGCCCAGCCGATCTTGGACAAGTACCGCCACACGCGGCGCTGCTTCAACGACGACATCCAGGGCACGGGCCAGCGTCCCGTGGCCGTGACGATTTTCGAGCGATTTCGGCTGGGAACACGATGAAGCATCGTGACCGTCGTGCTTGGTAGGCACGGGCTGCGTGACGCTCGCGGGCGTGCTCGCCGCGGGCCGCCAGGCGGGGCTCCGGCTCTCGGAGATGTCGTTCCTCTGCGCGGGCGCGGGCTCCGCGGGCCTGGGCGTCTGCCTCCAGCTCGTCGACGGCATGGTCGCGGACGGCCTGAGCCGCGAGGAGGCCATGAAGCGCTTCGTCATCTGCACGTCCGTCGGCGCCATCGGCCGCGCGGACGGCGCGCACGGCGACCCGAACGCGGCGCGCGGGCTCAGCGCGGAGCGCGAGATCTGGGTCAACGACGCCGTGAGCGACGGCGCGAGCCTCGAGGACGCCGTCCGCGAGTTCCGGCCGACGTGCCTCCTCGGCCTCGCCGCGCAGCCGGGAGGCCTCTTCACGGAGTCCCTCGTGACATCCATGCTCGCCTACACGGAGACGCCCGTCGTCATGCCCATGTCGAACCCGACGGCGAAGCACGAGTGCACGCCGCGCCAGGCCTGGGAGTGGACGGACGGCAAGGCCATCGTCGCGACGGGGTCGCCCTTCGACCCCGTGGAGATCAACGGCAAGACGCTCATCCCGTCGCAGTGCAACAACATGTACGTCTTCCCGGGCCTCGGGCTCGCGGCGTCCGTCGGCGGAGTGACGTCCGTGACGGACCCCATGCTCTACGCCGCCGCCGTCGCCTGCGTCGACGCGATGACGGACGAGGAGTTCGCGTCCGGCCGCACGAGTCCCGGCCATCGACCGCATCCGCGACGTCTCCCACCTCGTCGCCGTCCGCGTCATCGAGGTCGCCCTCGCGGAGGGCATGTGCACGAAGATCGCGCCCGAGGACGTCGCCGAGCCGGGCAGCCTCGCGAAGCTCGTCTCCAAGAAGATGTACGACCCCGTCTACGCGCCCCTCGTCGACCCCTCCTACGGCAACTAGGACTCGGTCGTATATGCACACTTGCGAGCGGTCCTCGCGCGCGTCGCGGGCGCGTCGGACGTCGCCATCGGATTCCTCGGCGGCGGGGCTTCGCCGCGCGTCTTCGGCTTACTTGAGCTTGAGCTTGACGTCGTCGTCGAGGGCGACGCCCGTGCCGACGACGAGCACCATCATGTAGACGATCGGCGCGGGCATCTGGAAGATCGACTCGGGCGCGGAGCCCGTCCACGGGTGCGTGTACTGGACGGCGAAGATGCAGAGGAGCCAGGCGCCGTAGATCGCGCAGACGACCTTCTTGACCTTGGCGTCGCCGTAGTACGTCGCGGCGATGGCGATGAAGCAGAGCGCGAACGCGAAGAGGCCGCAGACCGCGCAGACGTGGAAGACGATCGGGTGCCTGCGAGCGCGGGGGTCGGCCGCGGCGCGCGGCGCGAGGCCGAGACGTTCGAGCTTCGCGCGGCGCGAGTACTCCGCGCCGCGGCGAACATGGGCGGGATCTTCTTGGTGGAGAAGCTGCCGGGGGCCCCGAAGATGTCGGCCTCCGTGAGCATGCCGCCCCCGAGCGTGATGAGGCCGCCGTCATCGGCGAAAAGGTGGCTCAGCCAAGTTGGGCACATGAGGAGCGTGACGAGCGCGATCGAATAGGGGACGGCGTTCTTCATAATTAAGGGTACCTGCGACGCGGAGGGGCGTCCCCCGCGGCGCTGGGCGTCGGTGGGACGCGGCGCGCGAGCACGATAGGAACTGCTCAAGATCTGCTGAGGAACTGATGAGCTTCGCTGAATCTCAGTGGACAAAAAACCATCATCCTCACCGCCGTCCACCCCCCCCGCAATGCTGAACCCGAGATTGCCCGTCGACCGCACCCACGATGAAGCTCCACCTACTCGTCCTTCTCCTCGGCCGCCGTGCCACGGTGGTCCTCAACCTTAACCCGGTCTTCGCGGAGCGGCGCGGGAGGCGGACTTCCTCCAGGGGAAGAGCTCTGCGTGGATCGGCAACAACCAGGGGCCGGAGTGAAGGTTTCTTCGGAGTTGCCACTGGGCTAAGGCACGTGAGTAAGGCTCCGCGCGGGCTACGCGCCTGCAACGTAGCCTCAAGGTGGCCTTTGGCGTCGACAGTTCCGACGCTCTCACAAGGTGAGAGGCGCCGGGGAGGAGCCCAGCGCCCAGACACCATGGAATCAGACGACGAGGAGAGCGTCGCCCGCGACTGTTCCTCATTCCTGCAGGCCGCGTCGTCCGTCGTTCCGACGGAATCCGAAACGACGGACGAGGAGGAGCCGCTCCCCGACGCGAAGGAGAGCACGGAGCCGCCGCCGCCGCCTCCCTGCGACGCGGGCGACGGCGAGGACAGCGACAGCGAGGATGACCTGCCGTATAGGGTCATACACGCGCGGCGGCGCGCGGCGTCGATCGCGTCGTCGTCGGCGCCCGCGACCGTGACCGCGCCCGCGACGCCCGCGCCCGCGCCGAAGCCGCCCGCGCCCGCGGCGCCCGCGACGCCGCCGCCGCGGAGCAAGGCGCCGCTCCCGGCGACGACGTCGCCGCCCCGGCGGAGCGCGACGCCGCCCCGGGGCCGGAAGTCGGCCGCGACGGCGACGCCGCCGGCGACGGAGACGCGGCGGAGGAAGCGGCGGCCGCCGGACGGCGGCGCGCTGCTCCGCGTCTGCCGCACGCGGCGGGCCGACATGAGCCGCGCGGCCGCCGACGCGCGCGCGGCGCTCCGCGACGGCTGCCCCGTCGACGCGCTCGACGACAACGGCCTCACGGCCCTGCACCTGGCCGCGTTCAACGGCGTCGCCGAGGTCGTCGACGCGCTCGTGGAGGCCGGCGGCCCGAACTTCGTCGCGCGCGAGAGCCGCGGTGGCATGAACGTGTTGCATTTTGCAACCGGCGCCGGCGCGTCCGACGATGCGTTCCCCTTCGTCGCCGCGCTCTTCGCCGCCGCGCCGCGGACGCTGCTGCTGGGCCTCTCGCTCGCGCGCGAGCACCAGGGGCAGCTCACGCCGAAGGACCGCGCGGTCCTGAATGGGCACGAGCGCCTGGCGCTGCTCTTCGGCGCCGTCGAGCGGCTCGACGACGCTGAGGTCGAGCGCATCCTCGCGACGGCGTGTGCGCCGCCGCCGCCGCCGCTGCCGCGCGCGCGGTCGAGGCCCGCGGCCGCCGCCGCCCCGCGGGTCTGGGCAACGCCCATGGCGCGCCCGCGGGCGAGCTCTTCTGACGAGGAGCTCGAGCTCGCCGCGTTCTTCGGCGTCCCGCGCCCGCCCACGCTCGAGAGAGCTCCTCCCATGTCGGCCTTCGAGAACACCCTCCTGGAGGACGACAGCGACGGCGACGACGACGAGGCCATGCCCGCGGCGCCCCCGTTGGCGCCGCCCGCGCGCGTCACGGCGGCGGCGCCCCCGCCGCACGCGCCCCCGCCGCTGCCGCGGTCGCTGCCGCCCCGCGGCCCCGGCATCGCCGCGCGCCAGCTGCCGAACGCGACCTTCGCGCCCATCGCGAACCCCGACCAGCGGCGGCCGTCGCCGCCGAAGCCGCGGGCCGCGTCCTCCGGCCAGTCGTCCATGAACCTGCAGCAGCTGCTCCAGGACGTCGTGCAGCAGCTCGGCAAGGAGGAGCGCATCCGGTTCCGCGAGTTCGTCCAGGAGCTCAAGGCGAAGCGCGACGCGGGCGAGATCCCGTCGCTGAGCGAGGCGCTGCTCGCGGGCGGCGAGAATGTCGTCGGGAACGACGTCTGGCGCCGCGCCTGCGCGAAGCAGGACGCGCGGGCGCGGTCGTCGAGCGAGGAGGCCGAGGAGGGCCGCGCGCGTCCACCGGAGCCGCGGGCGCGTCCCGCCGAGCCGCGGGCGCGTCCTCCCGAGCCTCCCGCCGCGCCCCGCGCGCCGAAGCGCCGCCGCTTCGAGGCGGTCCCGGCGAACGCCGTCGTCATCGACATCGGCGACTCGGACGACGACGCGCCGCCGCCGCCGAACCGGCCGCACGTCATCGACCTGACCTAAGTGTTAGCCGCCTGGTCTGCGACGACGACGGAGTCCGTGACCCAGCAGTTCGCGTAGGCGCGGCGGTCGTCGTCGGCGGCGTAGTCCGGCTGCCGCGAGAGGACGAAGTTGTACTCGAGGAGCGGCGGGATTGCGAAGGGCGCCGACGACCCGCCCGCGGGGAAGACGCGCACGCGCACGACCTTGCGGCCCTCGGACGGGCTGATGGCGCCCACGAAGGCCCAGCGGCTGCACCGGACCATGGGCGCGTAGTCCGGGTTGCCCTGCAGCATGGACGCGAAGCGCTTCCAGGGCCCCGTGACGGCCTTGTTCGCCGGGCTCGCGAACTTGAAGCAGCGCATGACGTCGCCGTCGCGCAGCGCGTTCATCTGCGCGGCGACGACGTCCTCGGGCGCGGCTTTGGGCGTCGGCCGCCGGGGCAGCGCCGCCTCGTCGTCGGCCGCGCTCGCCGCGCGCCGCGGGATCGACGCGCGGCGCGGCGTCGGCGCGAAGCCCGCGGCCGCCGCGAGCGCGAGCGCGAGGACGACGCGCCGCTTCATCGCGCCGCGAGGTACTGCGAGGCCTTCTCGAGGACGACGGACAGGACGATCGCGGCGACGAAGAAGCCGCCCTTCTCCGCGATGGCCTTGCCGATGACCGGGTCGAACTCGCGCTTCTCCCGCGGCTCGGCGCGCAGCAGCAGCGCGCGGCCGCGCGGCGCGTCGGGCGCGGGCGAGAAGGCGACGCGAGCGCGCTCGCGGCGCGAGGCGACCGGCGCGAAAGCGGATGCGGAAGCAGCCACGCAGACGAGGACCACGACCAGGCGCATCGATTGCAATGAGACTGCAATGAGAACTGCAACACACTGCAACATACACTCCGTATCCGATACAACCGCGCTACCCCGTCGCTCGACGATGCCTCTGCCAAAACCGTGAGCATGTCGAAGCGGAACAGCATCAAGAAGAGCAAGGGCCCCGTGGAGCCCGAGGTCGAGGAGGCCAAGGGCCACAACCCGAAGGAGGACGCCGCCGTCGGGTCCATCTCGCACATCCTGCGCACGCTCTTCCGCGGGCTCTACGAGGACGAGGCGCGCGAGAAGGCCGAGGCCGAGGAGCAGGAGAAGCTCCAGGCGGAGCAGGACGCCAAGGCGCAGAAGAAGGCGAAGAAGAAGGGCAAGGCGAAGAAGGGCGCGAAGACGGGCCGGGAGGCGGCCGTCGAGGACGACGCGTCGCTCGACGACGACGACGACGACGGCGCGGTCGAGCACGGCGACGCGCCCTGGTTCGACGCGAGCCACCTCAAGGACGTGGAGCACACCAAGGCCCTCGCCGCGCGGCGCCAGGACGCCATCGCCGCGCGCCTGGGCCGGCAGCAGAAGCAGGCGGACGGCCTTTTAGCGTACATGGGCGAGCAGATCCGCGTCGCCGCGGCGGCCGACGAGGAGGAGGAGCGGTCGCTGAAGAAGCGGGGCCTGCTCGTCTCGGCGCACATCCCCCAGGCCGCGTCCCAGCTCGAGCTCACGTCCGCGGCGCTCGCGGACGGCGGCCACTTCTCCGCCGCTTTGGTCACGGCCGCGGACCTCATCGAGGCGAACCGCAAGGCGCTCGCGCGGCGCTCGGGCAACATGGAGGCCGCGGGCGTCACGTCCAAGGCGTCGGCGGTCCTCGCCACGGGCGCGCCGGGCTACTTCAAGCTCACGGCGACGAACAAGGTCCGCCAGAAGCTCGCGCTCCAGCGGAGCCACGGCCCCTGCGGCGACAAGGGCGACCCGACGGCGCTCACGCTCCTGCGCACGTCGCTGTCGGCGCCGGGCGCCGACGAGGGCTCGGGGTCCGCGACGACGGCGCGGCCGAGGCGGCCCGACGTCGGCGCGTCCGTCGAGCAGCAGGATTTAGACCTCAAGGTGCTGACGCGCATGGAGCAGAAGCTCCACTTCCTGCGGAACCCGCGCTACGACGCGCACAACCCAAACCACCAGCGGCGTCTCACCGCGCGGCCGCCGTCGCCGCGGCGCATCGGGCGGGAGACGTACGCGGAGACGGACCCGGCGGCGATCGCGCGCCGGGAGGCGCTCGACCGCGACGGCGACGGCGCCGAGGAAACGCAGCTGCGCGACGTGCCCCTCGTCATCGTCGAGCCCCGGGAGGTCGCCTTCAGCAACCACGTCGTCGGCGGCGCCTACGAGCAGGCGCTCTCGATCAAGAACGCGTCGGCGATCTCGCGGCGGCTGCGCCTGCTCCGCCCGCGGACCAAGTTCTTCACCGTGGCGTCGGTCAAGTGGCCCGGCGCCAGGGACAGTGGCAACCTCGCCCCGGGCATGTCGCTGCGGGTCCTCATCCGCTTCGAGCCGGACAGCCTGGCGGACTACGAGGACGAGCTTAGAGTGGTGTCGGAGATCGGCGAGGTTTCGGTGCGCCTGCGCGCGACGCGGGACCCGCCGGTGCTCACGCTGCCGGACCAGCTGGACGTGGGCGCCTGCCACCTCGGCGGAAGACTGGAGACGTCCTTCGCGGTGACGAACGCGGGCGGGCCCGGCCGCTTCCGATTATTGCGGGAGCAGGACTACCCGTCGCCCGTCGCCGCCCAGCGCTACAGCGACACGATGCGGCTCTTGCCCTACTACACGGTGAAGCCGACGTCCTTCGATTTAGGGCGGGACGAGACGACGCAGATCCGGGTCACGTTCGCGCCGGACGGCGCGCCGGGCGAGCACCGCGCGAACTTTCTGCTCATCGGCGACGACTGCCGCGTCGTCACGCACGTGCTCGTGGGCCGCGCCGAGGCCGTCGAGGTCACGGCGTCGGACCTCGACGGCGTGGATTTACTGGCGGACGCGTCGTACGCGCCGCCGGACGCGCTCGGGTTTGAGTCGCTGCCGCTCGGCGCTTCCGCGACGCACGAGGTGTCGCTGCTGAACCGCGGCGAGCTGCCGCTGGCCTTCGACTGGCGCGTCGACGAGGACGCGCCAGATTCGGGTTTTACAGTGGCGCCCGTCGCGGGCGTGCTCGAGCCGCGGTCGAAGCAAAAAATCACGGCGAGCTTCTCGCCGTCGCTCGCGGCGCCCGTCGGCGCGACGGCGGCGCTGGTCGTGCGCGGCGTGCCGCGGCTCGCCGCGGGCTCCCTGCCCGTCGTCGGCGCGAGCGACCGCGAGGGCCGGGGCGACTTCGTCGACGTCGAGGCGTACAAGTTCGCGATGCGCGGCGCGGGCCACCGCGTGCGCCTCGACGCGGCGCCGCGCTGCGTGGCGCTGCCCTGCGCGCTGGGCCTGGGCAACGTCTACGAGCTCGACGAGGAGCTCGTGACGCTGTCGAACCCGACGGGCGCGCCCGTCGAGTGGTTCTGGGGCGCCGCGGCGACGCGCGGCGCCCTCGTCCTCCCGGACGCGCTGCTCGCGCCGGACCCGGCTATAGCGGCGGCGACGGTCGAGTGGGAGCCGAGCCGGGGCGTGCTCGGGCCCGGCGAATCCGTCGAGTGCATGATGCGCCTCGACGCGACGCGCGTCGGCTCGACGGATCTCGCGCTGCCCTGCTTCGTCGTCGACCGGCGCGGCGGCGACCCCTACGAGTCCTGCCGCGTCGTGCTCAACTGCGAGACGTCCGGGGGGCGCCTGCGCTTCGCGGAGCCCGAGGTGGACCTGGGGTTGATCGCGGTGGGCGCGAAGAAGGAGCACGTCATCACATTCACAAACGCGACGTCCGGCGACCTCGAGTTCTCCTTCGCCGAGGTCGCCGACGCGGGCCTCGGCGGGAGGCACTCGGGCTCCCAGAAGTCGCTCGGGGGCCGGTCGTCGTCGAAGGCGTCCGACGGCAGGAAGTCGAAGTCGGACGCGTCGAACGGCGACGGCGAGAACCCGTGTGGAAATCAAATCTTCAACCCGACTTCAATGTGCGCGTAATCGAACGATTTGGACCAGACTCTTTCGCTGTGCTTCGAGAACTCGACGAGAGCAATCGACCCGTCCAAAAATCAGCCGAATCGACTTCGATTTGATTGAGATAGAGAGTTCTGAAGTTTGGTGGGGACCCCCCAAACCAGTGGTTGATTTCCACACAGGCGAGAACAACGAGTTCAAGATCGACTCGCCCTACTGCCAGCTCATGTTCGACCCGCCCGTCGGCACGGTGGGGCCCCGGGGCGAGGCGTCCGTGCGCGTCGTCTGCTCCGCGGGCAAGCTGCCGCAGCGGCTCCGCGCGCACGCGCGCGTCGACGTGCGGAGCGGCCGCGCGGCCGCGGAGCCCCAGTTCATGAGCCTGCGGGGCGAGGTCCAGGCGCCCAAGGTCTACCTGACGGAGACGGACGTCGACCTCGGCGTCGTCTACGTCGGCGTGCCCGTGACGCGGTCGCTGCGGCTCGTGAACCTGTCGAACCTGTCGACGCGGTTCAAGTGGGAGCGGCCCGGCGGCGCGTCGTCGACCTTCGACCTCGGCTTCAGCCCGCCGAGCGACGTGCTCGACGCGAAGCAGGTCTGCGACGTGACCATGACGTTCTGCGCGCTCTCCGCGGGCGTCGTCGACGAGGTGCTCGGCTGCCGCATCTTCGGCATGTCGCTGCCCCTGGGCTTCACATTAAAGGCCATCTCCAAGGCCGCGGTGCTCGCCTACGAGCTGTTGCCCGACGGCGCCGAGCCGCCGCCGGCGCTCGCGGACGCGGCGCTGCCCCAGCTGCCCGAGGGCGTGTCCGTGCCGTCGCAGCCGCCGCCGCCGAAGCTCGACTTCGGCGCGGGCGTGCCCCTCTTCGAGCGCAAGACCGTGCGCCTCGCCATCCGCAACCTCAGCGCCATCGCCGCCAAGTTCTCCATCGCGCCGAAGAAGTACCCCGTGGCGAAGCGCGACCCCGCGCCCGGCGACGCGGCGTCGGCCGCGTCGGGCGGCACGGCGCGCGGCCGCCGCAAGCCCATCCTGGACGACTCGCTGGAGAGGACGAACACGTTCACGAGCGTCGGCGGCCGGGCGCACAACGCGAAGCGCCGCGTGGCCGCGGAGGACTCGGAGGTGCTCGGCGGGGGCAACGGCGTCGCGTTCTCCGTGTCGCCCGCGGCGGGCGTGCTCGTGCCCTGGGGCGTGCTCGTCGTCACCGTGACGGCCTACAACAACATGGCGGGCCTCTTCACGGACGCTTTAGAGTGCGACGTCGAGTCCGTGCCCGCGAGCCGGCTGCCCATCCGCCTGAGCGTCCGGGGCTGCCCGCTGACGCTACGGCCCGAGTGCGCGGGGCTGGACCTGATCACGTCGCCGGAGCGGCCCATCCTGAACTTCGGCCAGATGTGCGTCGGGTCGCCCCAGGCGCTGGCGAAGCACGTGCGCGTGCGCAACAGCGGGCCCGTCGACGCGCTGCTGACGTGGCGCGTCGTGCCCGAGGGCGGCGGCGCGGGCGACGAGGACCGCGCCGTCGACGTCGCCGCGAGGTACGTCGGCGGCGACGACCCCGTGCGGCTCACCATCAAGTGGCACGAGCAGGTCGAGTACGACCCGCCTTTTACGGTGGACCCGCCGGAGCTCAAGGTGCCCGCGCACGGCGACGGCGCGTTCGTCGTGCGCCTCCGGCCGGACACGGTAGCTCCCGGGTCGCGCCACCTCGAGGACGCGGGGCCGTCCGGCACGGTGCGCGCCATGATGGTCGCGGACGCGCTCTGGGTGTCGCGGCCGAAGACGCCGGGCGCGTCCGCGGACCTCGACAACGAAGCGGACGGGCCCAAGGTCGAGAACCGCCTCGCGGGCCTGTCGCTGACGACGCTGAGCACCGTGGGCCGCGCGAGCGGCATCCTGAAGAAGGCCAACGACCCGCGCGTGCTCCAGGCGCTCAAGGTCGTCCTCGACACGAAGCTCGTGCGCCCGCGGCTCCAGCTCGAGAAGGCCGCGGCGGACGGCGGCCACACGCTGCGCTTCAAGACCTGGTCGACGACGGTCATCGACACGCGCGTGCGGCGCAACGCGGCGACGGCGACCTTTTTTCCCGCCGCGGGGCTCGCGGCCGCGGCCGCGGGCGACCCGTCGACGGCCGTCGCGCGGAGCGGCGACCCGGGCTCGCCCGGCGACCCGCCGGGCACGGCGTCCGGCGCGTCCGTGGCCACGTCCACGGGCGGCATCCCGTCGAGTCTGCACCGGCGGGCCATGCTCCGCAACGTCGCCGACATCCCCCTGACGTGCTCGCTCGACGTGACGTCGCCGTTTTCCATATTGACCGCGTCGTCGACGTCCTTCTCCTACAAGGGCCGCGACTGCCTCCACAGCGACCTGCATTTGCTCCCGCGGCGGAGCCTCAATTTGGACATCCTGTTCAGCCCGCCGCCGCTGCCGCCGTCGTCGCCCTTGGAACCCGCGAAGCTCAAGTACGACTACGACGGCGAGCTCATCGTGCGCTTCTCGACGGGCCAGGAGCAGCGCGTGGCGCTCCAGGGCACCGTCGTGCGGCCGGCGCTCGTGGCGTCGCCGCCGGCCCACGACTTCAAGGTCGTGCGCACGGACGGGTCGTCGTGCCTGAGCCTCTTCCTCTCGAACCCGACGGAGGTCGACATCGAGTGGCAGCTCCGCCACGTGCCGCGCGGCGACCGCGTCTCCGACGGCATCGACGGCGACAACGCGCCCCTCGACTCCGTCGACGACCCCTCCGTCTTCGACTTCAGCGACGTCACCGCGCACATGACGGGGCCGTCGCTGCCCTTGAAGTCGGCCGCCGCGTGCGTGCCCAAGGACTTCAACCGCCTCGCGGACTCCCTCTTCTCCCAGACGGTCACGGCCCTCACCTGGAAGCCGGGCGGCGGCGACCACGACGAGGCCGTCACGTCCCTCGACGCGGCGCTCCGCGCGGAGGCGCGCGCGAACCCGCGCGTGCCGCTCCCGGTCACCGTGACCTTCAAGCCCAAGCGCGACGTCAAGTACTGCAGCCGCTTCCGCTTCGACGTCCACAAGGGCGAGCCCTTCGACATCGTCCTCCAGGGCGTCGGCTCCTACGAGGAGAACGTCCTGCCCCTGACCGTTCGCGTCGCGGGGAACGCCTAAAAGGAGACGCAAGTTGGTTTATCCATCAAGGTGACGTTCAAGGTGAAGTTTTTTTCTCCACAAATCGCCACAGCGGCGCAAAAAACCGCGCCGTCGCAGCGCGCCGATTTGTCACAGCGGCGACGTCGCCTTCGCGCAATAAAACCGCCTCGCCCTCGAGACCATGGCCACCATGTCGCAGCGGTACCGGTGCACGGGGTCGAACGGCGCCGTCGTCCGCGAGGGCTGCGAGATGGACAGCGAGGTCGTCGGCGAGCTCGACTCCATGGAGGAGGTCGTGGGCGTGGAGAGCCGCGTGGCGTCCAACGGCCTCGAGCGCATCCGCATCGAGGGCGAGACGCCCGGCTGGGTGAGCCTGCGGCTCCTCGAGCCCGCGGACGGCGCGGCGGGCGCCAAGGACCGGACGCTCGTCGTCGAGTGGCGCGAGGCCAAGGTCGTCCTCAAGAAGATCACGCTCGACACGGACCGCGGCGCGACGTGCGGCGACGTGAAGCGGTCGCTCTTCGCCATGACGCGCGTCGCCGTCGCGCGCCAGCGCCTGAGCCTCGAGTCGAGCCGCGAGCCGCCCGAGCGCGACCCGGAGCCGCTCGACGACGACGCGCCCGCGCCGACGGGGCGGACCAAGGGCCGGCGCGTCGTCATGCGCGAGGCCAAGCCCCAGAAGCTGCCCGCGGGCTTGGATGGGTCCGGGCTCGGCGCCTTCCTCCAGAGCAACAGCGCCGTGACGCCGAGCGGCGGGCTGAAGCCCAAGGTCGAGGACCCCGCGCCCGCGCATCTGCGGTCGACGGGCACGCTCTGCGGCGGCTCCTTCACGACGCGGAAGCGCACGCCCTACTACGCCAAGAAGATGCGGAACCGGGGCTTCGACCCCGACGAGGACAAGCCCACGCCCGCGGCGCCGGCCGCGCCCGCGCCGCGCGTGGCCGCGGCGCCGGGGACCGCGCGGACCGACGACGCGGGCACGTTCACGGCCTGCCCCGACGACAGCGACTCGTCGAGCTCCGACGAGGAGGCCGGGGACGAGCCCGTCGTCGAGGTCGTGAGCAGCGACGCGAACCGCGGCCGCCGCGGCGGGCCCCGGAAGCCGCGGGCGCGGCGGCGCCGCGTGCTCGTCGTCTTCGACGGCGACCGGCTGTCGCGGCGGCTGCCCCACAAGGTGCGCTACACCTTCCCGCGCGCCGCGGCGCCGCGGGACGCCGTCGCGGCGCCGGACCTCGTGGCCGCGTTCGCGGAGCGCTACGCGTCCCTGCCGGGGACCTCGCCGCTCGCCGCCGCGCACGTCGTCGACCGCTTCGGCACCGTCGTCGGCGCGGACGACGAGCTGCTCCTCTACTGCGACGCGCCGCTCAAGGTGAAGCTCGGCGCCGCGCCGGCGAAGCCCGAGGCGCCCGCGCTGGCGACGTGGGGCTACAACTGCGCGACGCCGGCGCCCGCGCCCGTCCGCTTCTTCGCGCGGAAGCGCGTCGAGGCCGTGGCCTGCGGCTGGCTCCACTGCGTGGCGACGACGGAGAGCGGCGTCGCCTTCGCCTGGGGCGCCAACGGCTTCGGCCAGCTCGGCACGGGCGACGAGAAGCCGCGGAAGCTGCCGACGCGCGTCGCGCTCCCGTCGGGCGACGGCGGCCCGCGGCTCCTCAAGCTCGCGTGCGGCGCGCACTTCAGCCTCGCCGTCGACGCGTCCAAGAAGCTCTGGAGCTGGGGCCGCTACCAGGCGTCGAACTGGCCCCTGAAGTTCGCGGAGACCTGGGCGAGCCGCGCGGCGACCGACGCCGCGGACGTGGGCCTGCCGCCGCGCGGCGACGTGCTGGCGATCGCCGCGGGCGACGCGCACGCCGCGGCCTTGGTGTCGTGCCGCGAGGCCGCCGTCGACGTCGGCCCGCGCGTCGTCGTGACGGCGTGCTACGCCTGGGGCTACGACGACCGGCTCCAGCTGGGCGTCGACGGCGCGAAGGCCGAGGGCCAGCGGAAGCCGCGGCGCGTCGCGAGCCTCGACGCGCTCCCGGGCACTTTAAAGGACGTCGCCTGCGGCGGCAGCCACACGGCCGTGCTCACGTCCAAGGGCGAGGTCTACTGCTGGGGCGACAACTCCTGCGGCCAGGGCGGCAAGCTCAACCGCGCGCCGTTCCGCGAGCCGCACCGGCTCGAGGTCCCGGAGGCCGCGAAGCTCCGCTGCGGCCGCCACGCGACGCTGTGCATCGGCCGCGACGGCGGCGCCTACCTCCTCGGCGCCCTGAACACGGGCGGCAGCGACTCGGCGACGCCGACGTCCTTCGACGTCGCCGTCGCCGACGGCGCGGCGCCGCCGCCGCCGCCCGCGGGCGCGCGCGACACGCTCGCGACCTTCGAGCGGTCCCTCGCGACGGCCGCGCCCGAGTTCGTCGCCGGCGACGTCGCCGACGCCGCCATCTCCGAGGCCCACTGCCTCCTCCTCAAAAGCGACGGCCGCCTCGCGGGCTTCGGCTACAACGCCTACGGCCAGGCCACGGGCGCGCTCAACCGGGACGTCGTCAAGGAGCCCAAGGCCGTCGACGCCGGCGCCGTCCACGTCGCCGGCGTCACGGCCGTCACCGCGCTCGCGGCCTGCGGCGGCACGTCCGCCGTCGTCGTCCGCAAGGCCGCCGCGTGACCCTTTTTTATGCGCCGCGGACTTTAAAACGACCTAGCACCGCGCGGCGTCGAAGAAGGCGAGGAGGTGTGGCGCGGCGGCCGCGGCGACGTCGCGCGCGGTGCGCCCCCGCGCGTCGGGCCGCCGCGCGTCGAGGCGCCGGTCGGCGAGGAGGCGGCCGAGGGCGCGCGCCGAGTCCATCTCGACGCAGGTGTGGAGGGGCGTCGCGCGGTCCGGCTCCGAGCCCGGCGCGGCGAGGTCCTCCGCGCTCAGCCGCGGCAGGAGCACGTCGAGCAGGTCCGCGGCGTCCCAGGCGCAGAGCTTGTGGAGCGCCGTGAGGCCGAAGGCGTCGCGGCCGTTGGCGACGCAGGCCGCGTCGTCGAGGCGCCTCGCGAGGTCCTCGGGCGCGCCGCCGGGATACGCGAGGAGCTTGCCGAGATTCGTCGAAGAGTCGTCGGGCGCCCTCTTGCGGCGCCGCGCGAAGTCCCGCGACGCCGCGGCGGCGACGGACTGGCGCGGTTCGTCGGCGGGCGCCCCGGGCGCCGCCGAGGGTTCGTCGGCGGGCGCGTCCGGCGCGGCCCCGGCGGCCCGGGACGCCTTGAGCTCGCGCATGCGCGCCGCGACGGCCGCGTCGATCTCCGCGTGCGACAGCGGCTTGAGCGGGCTCTGCTTCGGCGGCGCGGGTGGCCGCGGCGCGGCGGCGGCGGAGGCCCGGGGCGTCCGCGGCGCGTGGGGCGTCCGCGACGTCTTCGCCTCGTCGCCGCCGGGCGGCGTCCTCGGCGTCGCGGGGGTTTCAGGTTTGGCCGCGGGCGCGGCGGCGGCGACGCGGAGCGCGGCCACTTCGCCGCGGGGCCGCCGGGGCGACGCGGCGGCGAGGGCGTCGTCGTCGGCGAGGGCGGCGATGCGCGGGTCGTCCGCGCCCAGGAGCGCGCCGACGCAGCCGACGTCCGCGCGCTCGTCTCGCGCGACGCGCAGGGGCACGCGGCGCCAGGCGTCGGGCGCGTCGAGTTTCGCGCCCGCGGCGACGAGGAGGTCGATGGTCCGCGCGTCGCCCGCCGCCGCGGCCGCGTGGAGCGGCGTCTCGCCCCAGTCGTTTATAGCGCGCGCGTCGAATCGCCGGTTCTCGAGGAGCGCGGCCGCGGCGCGCGCGGCGCCGGCGGCCGCGGCGGCGTGGAGCGCCGTGTCGCCGCGCTCGGAGCGCAGCGGGAGCGCGGGCTGGTGGGGCAGGAGCAGCGCCACGCAGGCCTCGGCGTCGGCCGCGGCGGCGTGATGCAGCGCCGTGCGGCCCTCCTCGTCGCGGAAGTGCACCGCGTGGCGGCAGGCCTCGAGGAGCTCGCCGACGCGCGCCGCGTCGCCGCGGCCCGCGGCGGCGAGGAGCTGCGCCCCGGACGCCTCGAGGCCGCCGCCGGCGAACAGCATCGGTCGACCGGTGCGGGGCAGCGTTTTGTACTCGACCGAGGGGGCAAACATCATTTATTGCAGGGAAAGGAGCTGCCAGCGGCATTCGGGCAATCATGATGTTGGGAAGCACGAAGGATGATCACTCCCAGCCTCGATGAGACGTGGATGGAGCGAGCCTCGCACCTGCCGCGCGCGTCGCATGACTGCCGCATGAAGCCGAAGGCGTCGCCGTCCATCTCGGGCGCATGAAGGCGAAGCGGCCCCTCGCGTCGCCGTCCATCTCGGGCGCATGAAGGCGAAGCGGCCCCTCGCGTCGCCGTCCATCTCGGCCGGCCGGCCGGCGAAGCCGGCGCCGCTCGCCGTGGCGCCGCCGTGCACGCCGGCGTCGGCGACGTGCCGGCGGCCGGGCTGCGTCTCCTTCGTCGCCGTCGACGGCTTCTGCTCCGCGTGCTGCCCGGCGGCGTCGCCGTCCAGGTACGCGCCGTCGATGACGGCGCCGCGGCCCGCGGCGGCGGCGGCGCCGCGGCCCGCGGCCGAGGACCTGGCGCGGTGCCGCGCGCCCAAGTGCCGCCACCCGGCCGTCGCCAACGGCTACTGCGAGCTCCACCACGGGAGCCCCGTCGACGAGGACGCGATCTGCCGCGCCGCGGGCTGCACGTTTTACGTCGAGAGCGCGGGCCTCCACTTCTGCGCCGCGCACCGGCCCGGCCGGCCCATGCCCCTGTCGCCGAACAAGCGGCTGCTCTCGGCGGCCGCGCCGCGCGGCGCCGCGCCGGCCGCGGCGCAGTGGGGCCTCGCGACGTCCGACGCGCCGTCGCCGCCGCCGGCCGCGTCCGACGACGCCGCGGGCCCGGCCTTCCAGGTCCTCGTGGCGACGCCCGCGGGCGCGACGCTCCGCCGCGACGTGCGGCCGAAGGAACGCGTCGCGGCGCTCTTCGACGCCGTCGCCGCGTGGACGCGCCTCGACGTCGCGGACCTCCGGCTCGTCGTCGCCGGCGTCGTGCTCGAGGGCCACCGCCGGGTGCGCCACTACCGCGGCCTGCGGCGCAACGCGAAGGTCCACGTCGCGCTGCGCATGGGCGGCGAGACGCCCTGGGGCCCGTGCTTGCACCAGTGGGTCCGGGCCATCCAGGTCAACGGCGCGGACGTGCCCGTCGGCGGCGGCGACGGCCGGTACCCGAGCGCGGACGCCTTCGAGGCGCTGACGCGCGCGGTCGTCGGGCCCGACGGGCGCGCGCGCGTCGTCGTCACGTTCCACGGACCGGACCGCGCGTTCAACCGGCAGCTGGCCTGGGGCCGCGTCGAGCCCCGGCGCGGCGGCAGCGCCGTCGACGTCCGGGTCGACGAGCCGCTCCGGCGGTGCTTCGGCCTCGCGGTCCGCGACGGCCGGCGCCGGGGCTTCGAGGACGGCGCGCCGGCGTCGGACTTCCTCGACCTCCGGCCCGGCGACGCGACGGCCGCGGCCGTCGCCGGGCCGCCCCAGGGCGAGCTCGACCACCGCGCGCGCGCCGGCTTCGCGTTCCGCTACGACTACTTCGGCGACTGCCGCCAACTGACGCTCCAGTTCGCCGGCGTCGTCCCGGACACGGAGTACCTCTTCGGCCTCGCGGCCCCGGGCCGGCTCGTCCACGACGGCGACGCGGGCGAGCGCCCGGGCTTCCGCGACGGCGCGACGTACCGCGTCGTCTTCGGCGCCTCGCGGCGGCCGCCGCCGGCCGCGGCGCCGCCGGAGGAGCCCGCGCCCGTCGTCGTCCCGGCGCCGGCGCGGCGGCGACGATGTTGCGCGGTATCGTAGTGTGGCACTTAGGGAGCTCTAGCGGCCGTCGGCGACCGACTTGGCCCGGGACGGCGTATTCGCGTCCGGGCTGTCGTCGCCGCGGCGCGCGCGGGGCGCGGGCGAGTCGGCGCCGCGGCCGCCGCAGCGCGGGAGCGACTTGGCGCGGAGCATGCGGGACCGCTTGGACACCGTCGACGCGCGGCCGGCCGCCGGCGAGAGCTCGAGGGACGTGAAGGCGAAGAACTCCTCGAGGCGGAAGCTCGCGTATCCACCGAGGCACCCAAGCCGCGCGACGTCGGCGAGGCGCGGCCGGTCCGCCGCTTTAACGGCGAACAAGGCCGCGAGGAGCGCCTCGAGGCCCGCGACGGCCTTCGCGCGCGCCCGCCCGTCGGACCGCGTCTCCGCGCGTTTCTGGCCCTCGACGAGCGCCGCGGCCGCGAGGCTCGACGCGAAGCGGCCCGCGATGGCCGCCGCGTGGCGGTCCGCGTCGTCCTCGAGGAGGAGCATGCCGAGGAAGGGCGGCTCGTTGGGCAGCGACGCGGACGTCGCGACCTCGTAGAGCACGCAGCCCAGGCCGTAGGCGTCGACGGCCGCGCCGCGGACGCCCGCGGCGCCCGCCGGCGGCGCCGGCCCCGCGGCGTCGTCGCCGTCGGCGTCGCCGTCGGCGAAGCACTCGGGCGGCTGGTAGACCTCGGTGCCGCCGACGCTCGAGGACCGGGAGCCGCCGCCGGCCGCGTGCTCCGCGTAGCGCCGCGCGGCGTCGGACCGCGCGGGCCCCGCCGCCGCCGCGACGGCGAGGCCGAAGTCGCCGATCTTGATCGTGCCCCGGAGCACGAAGACGTTCTCGAGCTTGATGTCGCGGTGCACGACGCCCTGGGCGTGCGCGTACGCGAGGCCCGTCGCGCACTGGCGCGTGACCTCGACGACGGCGGGCAGCGGGAAGGGCACGCCGGAGGCGACGTGGTCCAGTAAGCTTCCGCCGGCGCAGTCCTCCATGGCGATGCACGCGTAGTCGGCGACGGCGCCGCCGCGGAGGTCGAGCGCGAAGAGGCCGTTGGAGCCGTCCTCGCGGTGCACGAAGGTGTCGTAGTAGGCGACGATGTGGTCGTGGCGCAGGGCCTGCAGGTGCCGCGCCTCGTCGAGCACGTTCTGCAACCCGTGGATGTCGCGCTCGAGGTCGACGCGCACCTGTGTGGAAATCAATTCTTCAACCCGACTTCAATGTGCGCGTATGCGACAGTTTCGACGCAAGCTCTTCGGCTGTGCTTCGAGAACTCGACGAGAGCAATCGATTCGTCCAAAAATCAGCCGAATCGACTTCGATTTGACCGAGCTAGAGAATTCTGAAGTTTGGTCAGGACCACCCAAACCAGTGGTTGATATCCACACAGACGCGCACGAGTTTCAGCACGACGCCCGCCGGCGTCGCGCAGCGCCAGACCGCGCCGAAGCCGCCCTCGCCGATCTTCTCGTCGACGCGCACGGCGCCGGCGCAGAGGCGGCACGCGCAGGGCACGCGCGCCCGCTTGGGCCCCAAGAGCGGCGACGCGACCAAGGCGTCGAACGCCGCGAGGAATCCGCCGACGGCCAGCAGGAGCACGGCGCCGACGCCCGGCGCGAACCAGGGGCCCAGCAGGTCCGCGAAGTCGTCGGACGTCGTCCGCTCGACCTTGAAGTTCGCGCTCCGCCCGACGAGGCAGCTGTTCACGAGCGCCAGCGCCGCCCGGAGCCGCAGCTCGCCGCCGCGCGCGCCGCAGGACCCGTCGAGCGCGCCGAGCCGCGCCGCGACGCGCTTCCGCAGGGCCGCCACGGCCTCCGTCGGCCGGCCCGTCGTCGCGTCCCACATGGACGCCCTGTCGCCGGGCTCCGATTCCGCCGTGAACGCGGCGTCGGCGTCGTCCACCAGGTCCGCGAGGCCGCAGCGCGTGCCCGCGGCGTCGCCCTCGGACTCGTCGGCGCCCTGGGTCAGCTCGATGATCGACGCCTGAGAGAGACGGGATCTCATGTCTCGGCGGGTGCGGGCGGATATTCTTTCAAATTCCTTCTGCCGGTTTGAGATGGACGCCGGAGGCGGACGAGCGACGCGCGCTGCGGTTCCGATAGGGAATACACAGCTTGAGCTTTCGGTGATGATGGCGCGTCGGACCCCGCAGCTGTCGACGCGACGAGCTGCAGGAGCAACGCTACTGTGCGGTCCAGAGACAGAGCCATTGGGCTGAAGCCAGCCAGCCGCCCGCCGCCCCGGCGCCGGCCCGCCCGGGGGTCCGACGCTCGCTATCGTGCGCGCCGTGCGCAGGCTCGACGACTCCCGGGGGCAGGACACGGGAGGCTCCGTTGCTGCTCTACGCCACGGTGTTACGCCCCCGGCGACCTCGCCGCCTCACTTCCCCGGGTCCCCTTTCCGCTTCGCGGACCGCGTGCGCACGGCCGAGCGGCGTTTTTTCGCGGGCGCGGTGGCGGTCTTCTCGGCCTCCTTCGGCGCCTCGTAGTAGGGGTTCTCCGCCGCGGCCGAGGCGACGGCGACCGGCGCCGGCGCGGGCTCCTCGTCGACGGCGTTGGCCGCGGCGATCTCCGCGGCCTCCGCGGCCGCGGCCGCGGCCGCGGACGGCGCCGCGCGCGTCGCCGCGTACTTGCCGAGCGCGTCGACGAGCAGGTCCATGAGGTCGGCCTCGCCCGTGAGCTCGTCGATGCGGTCCCGCGTGGCGACGAGGTCGAGGCCGCCGCCCGCGGCGACGAGCGCGAACTCGAGCCGGCCGTCGGCCTCGACGCCGGCGTTCGTGAGCGTCTCCCAGCGGAGCGCGCCGAGCTGGCCCGACGACGGGTCCGCGGGCGCCACGAAGGCGACGGGCCGCGCGCCGCGGATCGCGAGCGTCGCGTCGACGGACCGGAGCGCCGTCGGCCCCCACTCGCCGCAGAGCCACGACGACAGCGGCTCCGGCGCCCAGTCGTAGCGCGCGTCGAGGCGGCTCGCCAGGGCCTTGGTGGACTTCCCCGCCTGGAGCACCTCGGCGAGCAGGGCCGCCCAGTCGTCCGCGGACGGCGCCTTCTCGCCCGCGGCGGACCGGACCTCGAACTTGGCCAGGCCCGGCTTCAACTCGGGCGACGCGAGGGCCGCGACGACGGCGTCGGCGACGGCGCCGCGCCGCGTCGCCGCCAGCGGCTTGGCGGCGACGCCCTGCGCCTCGCGCATCTGGCCCCGCTCCGTCGCCGCGGCCATGTCGCCGAGGCCGAGCCACGTGCCGGAGCTGAACATCTGGTCCTCGCCCTTGGCGCCGTCGCGGACGACGGCGACGCGCGCGCCGCGGCGGCCGAAGTCGTCCTCGAGCACGGGCTCCTTGAGCAGGCCGCTCTTGAAGGCCTGCAGCTCGCCCTCCAGCGCGACGCCGCCGAAGAGGGGCCCGTGGAGGACGACGCACGCGGTCCGCGCGGCGCCGCCGAGCGCCTTGGTCGCGACGGCCGCCGGGTCGCTGAAGCCCTTGTCGAAGCCCGGCACCCTGCCGAGCACGGCCCGCAGGCCGCCGGCCTCCTCCTCGCCGTCGCCGCCGCCGGGCCCGACGACGACGACCGTCGCCGGCGTCGGCTCGCACGCGTCCAGGAGCTTGGACAGCGCGACGTCGTCGGACCCGTCGCCGCAGCACACCGCCGCGTCGACGCGGCCGCTCCGGCCCTCGCCGTCGACGACGCGCACGACCTCGGCGCCGCCCGCCGCGAGCCGGGCGGCGATGCCGTCGGCGACCGTGCCGCCCGACGGGCCGCAGACGGCGACTCGCTTTGACGCGGACAGCGCCGACGACCGGCGCGGCGCGGCGCGCAGGCTCTGGGTGCGGAAGCCGGCGGCCAGGGCCAGCGTGAGCGCTAGCATCTTGCAGCTTGACCACGCCATGGTTTGATCGGCTCGCCAGTGCTCCGCAAAGGCCCGCTGGAGGATTTTGTGGCATTTGTCCGAGAGGCCAGCTCGCCACAGGATTTTGTGGGTGCGATGGCATCGTCGCTGGTCCACCTGCGCTTGACTGGCCAAAAACCCGACACATACCAGGCCACGCCGAATCTGCCGCCGATCGACGGCCGCTGCAAGTCGCACGTCTTGATGGCGCTGGATAAGCACAAAAAGATGTTCAAGAACAAGAAGCTGCGACAGCAGCTCCACAACGACGTGTTTTTCGTGTCGAAGATCAGCGGCGTCTTCCACCACGCTTTAAACTCCGTCTTCGAAGCGCTCACGCAGCGCTACACGGACCTCGGCGAGGGCGAGGTGATGAAATGGTTTTCTTCAGAGTACTTGGAGAACGGCGCGTGGACGCGCGCGGAGCTGCCGCCGGGCTTCCCCAATGACACGAACACGCTCGAGGCCTCCAACAAGACGCTCAAGGAGCAGTGCACGGAATATACGATGAAACCCGTCCTCGCCTTCCTCTCGGACATCTTCGCCTACGTGCAGGACAAGAGCCAGCTCAACGCGGAGTTCGCGTACGACGCGCCGCCGTCGACGCCGCAGACGAAGCTGGCGAAGGACGCGACGGCGGTCCTGAGCTCGGTGCAGCTCCTCAAGGGCGTCGAGGTCTCCTACGACATGCTCACCTCGGGGACCCACCTCACGTCCATGCTCCTCATCATCGGCGTCAAGCCGGACCTCGCGGCGCCGCCCGTCGCGTTCATCTCCGACGCGACCTACGTCGACATGCTCCGCGCGCTCGACACGAACGACAAGGAGGCCTGGACGACGGAGGTCGACCGCCGGCTCGCACCGTTCGTCGGGCTCGCGACGGGCGACGCGTCGTCGTCGTCGGGCCGCGGCGCGCGCGCGCCGTCGTGGGGCGCCGTCACCGCGGCCCTCGACGCGGGGATTTTGCTAGTCCCGCTCGAGGGCGGCAACTTCTTCTGCACCTGCGGCGACTACCAGCACAGGGGCGTGTGCAAGCACGCCCTCGCGTACAAGGTCATGAACAACCCCACCGCCCTCACAGGCGCCACCGACGACCGCCCGT